GGGGGGGTCTCCACGACCCAAGGTAGGAGCGGGACGCTGCATGGCAAAGGCGAGAGCGTCCGTACGGTCATCTCGGCCACGGACAATGCTCTTGTGGCGTTCCTCTTGAACGATGAGTGCATAAGCCCGGTGTATGTCCGGAACAGGTTCGGTGGCAATAATCTGAGATCGGATGTGACCGAACTGTTCGTCGTCGAGCCCGAGCAAGAAATGATGAGTCTTCTCATGTTCCTCGCGCGCCCGAATCAGAGCCGCAGCCTCACACCGACAACTACACGTTGGATCAACAGATCCATATAGCTTATTCCACAAAGTCACAAATTGGTTATAGTAAACAACCACAGTTTGTCCCTTTTGACGCAAAGATTGAAACTCAGATTTCAATTGGTGAATACGAGGTCCATTCGAACCTCCATATCTGGTCTTCAGATCTAACCATAATTCATGAGCAATTTTATGAGAGATAATGGAAGGTTGGATGTGTTCATCAACACTGTTACAGATCCAAGAACAAATTATGGAATTATTAGCTTTCCATGCCGCCAATTCCTGTTCATCAGTGGGTTTAGGAAACCCGGAAGGATTGAGAAAACCTGCTCTGGTACGCCCTTCTAGAGCATTAATAATGGTTTTCTCCCAAATATCATAATTATCACCTTTAAGAAGATGCTTCGTCAAGGAATTACCCGCACTTTCGGACGGGTGGATGTAGTACGGAGAGGTAGGGTCGTGGATGAGCCTGACCTTCTTTGTTCCTTCGCTTGCCATGGAGACGAAGATAGTACCGACGTGAGACGGTGATTATGAGTCCGACGTGAGCCGGCGCTGCAGTGGTGGTGATCGACGTGAGCCGATCAAAGAGGGGCGACCGTGGTGTGGCAGCCGGCGAAGCAATGGTGGCGGCACCGTGCGTGAGAAAAAAAGAGCCTAGGGTTTGAGAAGTTCCCGGGAAATTGGCTCTGATACCATGTAGAATTTTGGAAAAACTGAACTGCCTTTCATTCAATATTCACAACGTATATATACATGTGCCAAGTCCTACTACAAGTATGGAAAGGACTCCTTACAAGGAAACTAATTACAAAGGAAATAATTACATATATGGTACGGAGTAGTAAATAAATATATATGCTAACAACAATGTTTGTGTATTTTGTGATCAAAGTGTTTGTGACTCTAGCATTTCTCTTACAAGTGTGAAATGAGTGAGATGGTGAGTACAATTAAAAAAGAACAACATATATATTTAAAAATTATATTTAAAATCTTACAAAATAAATGATGATAAAATGGATGGAGCAATATATTCGATCACCTCATGCTTTCGTGATGGCGTGTATAAATAGTAGTAATGATGAGTGATGAGTCGCATTCGTAGTATATAACTATATATAGGTGTCATGAACACCTTGGACTACTCGTCAATAATTTGGAGTGGACACGATATTGGTCCGGTTTTAAAACCACCAGTTCCAATACTCATTTTAGGAGAACTATAATCGGTATTAGTCTTGTTTATATGTTGGTTAAGGGTTGTTTGTGTCAGTTTTTCTAAATAGCTGTTTGATTTAGCTAGTTTAGCCTGTTGGATGTGTTGGTTGATCATTAAAAATATTTGGTAAAATTAACTGTTTGAAAACAGTTATTTTGAAGTTTCAAAATTATATATATGTGTGTGTGTCATTTTTATGTGAGATTCTAAGTAATTATATAGTGATGAAGGACAACCCTAATCATGATTTGCCATTTTTTAGTGACAAAGAGTATTGAAAAAGAATTAGATAAAGAGAGGAACTCAAATTGGATTAGGTAAAGATCCCGGGGATTAAGGACTACGTGCCCTACAAGAAGTGAGGTGTCCGCAACGGAGAGCCGTCAATTCACTAAACTCTCTATATATGCTTAATCAATACTCCTCTCCTTCGGATCTTCCTGTCCGCATATTTCGTTGTTCTTTTTCATAAATAATTCACATTAATTAAGACGATGTGATCAAATAACAAAAAAAAAATACGGAGTACATATCAAACTACTTTGTCCGGCTTTTTATGGAGGGGAGAGAAAATCAATATTGACTATTTATTCCATTTTTTAAAGGGATAAATAGTTTATTTTGGTATAAATACTATGTATGCAATAGATAAATACTCTGATCCCTCCGTCTTGGTGTATTCTTTTAATCATTTAGTATAATTTTTGCGAGTAAAATTGAATAAGTATTAGTCTTAATTTCTATTTGTAATGTATATTACTTGGTCCGTCCCTGAGTGTTTGTCCACTTTTGATTTTTGGAACTATTCATCTAAACACTTTGACTTATCAAATTCTCTCAATGTGTAAACCTAAAAATAGTCATGTGTGATCTTGTTTGATTCGTCTTAACATATAGATTATTAATATATAATTTTTATAATTTTTTAATATACAAATTACAAGATAAAATGGATTAAAGAAGTGCATTAGATGGTGTGCAAAAACGAAAGTGGACACACACTCAGAGACGGAGGGAGTATTAAAATAAATGAAAACGAGAAATATTATTACAATTTTTATTTTTAAACTTTACACCATTTTTCATATAAAATAATTTAAAAATAATTTCAGTCAAAGATCATAACGCGCAACAGAAAATTTATTTCTATACAGAGGGAGGAATACATTACCATGTTTATTTAATTGATGTTCAAAGTTTATCATTTTAAACTCTAATAAGTCAAATTGGATAAGCACACTAAGACGGTGGTAGTATATATGAGAATGCAAACTTATTTTTAAAAAAATCACCAAAAATAGGAACAAAGTATAGTCCTAGTTCCTAAAATAAGAATGACATATATATTTTTAAGAGTAAATTCATAAAATAGTACTCAATAACTATGTATTTTTCCTAATTAATCCTCATAATTAACTAATTTTCAAAATGGTACTCATTAATGAAAATAATGCTCATTTCATGGATACTATCCATGAGTGCCACTTCCCCTCTCAGGGTAATTACTTCCTGCATCTCCAACACAAAGTTACGGAATACTATTTAAAATTACTGAATTTATGAAATCAATTAAGAAAGATTAGAAATAGAGAAATATTACTAGTTGCACATTCTTTTTCTTAATTGAAAGTGTTGGAGATCAATTTTTACACAGAAAAATAAATAAAAATACCATTAGCTTATATAGAAGGGTGGAGTTCAACCTATCATCTTAAGTTTTTGGATTAGAAAGTAAATCCCGACTTTATATATAAGTGGTTAATTTTATTTGACACTATACATGTTGTTCTTGGCCAACTACTATTTTAACACGGTATTGGAGCGAGTCCATTTTGGGTTCGATTCTTCCTGGTTGTTTGGACGTGAGTTTAGCAAAAAATGAGCTACCCGTTTATGGTTTGGGTTGAGTTGAATATAAGAGATTGAGATGTCACCGCCTGTTGTGTGAACTAGTTATAAGAGATTGAGATGCTAGATCCATTTGTCCAAATGCTAACTAGGCTATGCTAGTTGCCACTAGAAGGAAGTGTGGGAATTCCCACATTAAAAAATAAAGAAGAATACCACTAACATATATAGACTGTGAAGTCCTACCTATCAACTTATGTTTTTGGATTAGAAAGTGGATCCTGACTTTATATGCAAGTGGTTAGTTTTATTGACGCTCTTCCCGTTGTTTTTGGTCCACGGTAATTTTAACAAAAAATGTGAAGAAAACAATTTTGGAGTTTTAGATACTTTTCTTCCCAAATAAAATTTTCTTTTTCTTTTATATTTATTCTTGAAACAAATTTTATCTCTGAACGAATGAATGACTCATTTTTTTTTCTCGTCTCTACAAAAAATTAAATACAAGCGCAATTTTTTTCCTGAAATCTGGATAAAAGATTGAAAAATTAAATTGAAAATGGAACATTCACCCCAGGCGCCTCCACACCCCGACTCAACAGGATAGTGAGAAGGTAAATCATAGTAAAATCTCAATCAAGTTCTTGGAAAAGGCCGCCTCGTGCATTGTGCAACAAGGAGCTATTACAAAAAATAAAATTCTCACACTGCTGCTGCAGGCGTTCGATCACATGATCTATGAGATTGACATCATCTTCTTAGATTAGTTGAGCTACTAATGCAGGCGAAAAAATAAATTTAGAGGATGAGCCCCATCCTTGAGGGCCTCTCAGACCCAGTCAGATGGTCACTAATAGAAGGTAAATTGGATTTTAATCACATATTGGTGCTAGAGAGTGGAGCCTGCACTGACACTTGCAAAGACTATATGTTTAGTATAATTATCTCTTAGTGCAATTGTCATAAATCAAATCCAAATTTAATTTTTTGATACTTTTTATCTTTGCCAATTGCGTAACATAATATGGCAAAAAAAGAAACTAAATTTAAAGTGATGGAGGACTTGTGGAAAATAGTAACTTTAGTACAGAGCGAAAATAACGTATTCCTAAAAATTAATTACTAGATTTGACATTTTGACAGCTTGTAGTGCCATCCAATTAAGAACAAGAACAAACATGACACTGTTAAACCTAGCCAGCCCTGTCCTTTTGGGTAGGCCACCTAGGGGCTCCTAATGTTTTGGACCTCAAATTGTACTCCACCCATTCTAAATAATTTAAGGAATAAATTTTAAAAATAATACTCCGTATTCAATAGCTACGTGTTTTCTTAAATTAATCTCCAAAATGAATTAATTATTGAGATAATATTCGTTAATTAAGAAAAATGTTCAATTTAGTCCTTCAACTAACAATCGTCAAAATGGTGTTAGAATGATGCTAAAGCTTATACTAATTTACTAAAATGATCAGTTCTAATTAGATATTTTTCAAAATCAGAAATGATCCCATTTAAAAATAGTATAAACGGTTCGGTATTATTACAATCCGGGTACCATGCTAAATTGGTTTTTTGCCCACCGCGCTAGGTGGAGCGCTATAGATAGCATGTGAAATTAAATTCGAGGACTTTAGTTCTAATTCTACTAGTTGTTTTGGAATATATCTATTTTTAGTTTTTAAATCTCGAAACAACTACGGAGTATTTGAAAGCAGCTAAATTTATAAACTTCTTTTAAGAATTAGAATTACAATACAATTCTATATCAATTCTTTAATTATACCAAACAAAGAATTTGGAATTGAATTAGAAAATTGGGTGTCATCCCTTAGAATTGAATTAGAATTCAAATCCATACAATTCAATTTCAATTATGTGTGCCAAACGGAGCCTTATTTCTTTCAAAATATTCCGTAATATTGGCAAGTTGAGTAAGTATTCCTTCCGCAGATATAATTTTTTGAGACCAAGGTTCTGTTTGATACACAGAATTCAAATTATGGAATTGGAAATGGAGACACAAATTCCAATTCTGTTGTTTGGTAGCGCAAAAATATATGGATTTAGCATTATTGTACCAAAAATAAATTGGGATCGGAGAATTAAAATCAATTTTCAATTAATTTCATCCAAATCAATTTCATAGAATTTGAATTTCTAAATTTGTAAAGTCTGTGTATCAGATAAATCCTAAAATTGAAAAATTTGCATTCCGTATTTAAGCTCATTAATATCTTGCGGAGTTGCGGAGTACGGAGTAATTCTTAAATAAGGCTTTTTCGAAAAAAATTAAAGAAGGCCAAGTGGTTTGACAATGTTGTACACCATAAAACTTACTCGGATCAATGAATTTACTTTGCAGTTTGCACAATGTAAAAAAGGAGTGGTAGAAAAAATATGAGTGACAAAAACATTTCTAAAAATGAAAATACATTTCTAAAGCTTCTCTTTTACTCGTATTAATTATCCGGAGTATTAGACAAATTTTATAGTGGATCTAAGACTCTTGGAAAAATGCTTGGTTCACAAACAAAATGTTCACAAACTTCACAAACTTACTATTTATGAACTTTAATAAATAAAATTAAATAGTCAATAATAAATTTAAAATGAAAACTTAAATTATAAATAGTAAGTTTGTGAAGTTTGTGAT